GTGAACTGGAAAGTGACCTGAGATGACATGATGTGAATTCGAGCTATAGAAATAAACTGAATAGAATTCTGGGATTAAAGTCTATGGTTGTTCACCTCCTGGACGCCGGTTTACCTTGATCACTTTGAAGATGATGAGCTCCCCGGTGGCCCCGGGTGTGAGGGGGCCGGTCTGGAGAAGGTCCGAGTACCTGGACAGATAAACGCCTGCAACAACAAGCTCAGTGTGAGTGAGGAGCGCTTTGACCGGCCGGCTGCAGGAGAAGGTTCTGAGCACAGCTTCTACCTTTACTCGGGTTTCCCAGCATGGTGGTTTTGCTCTGGCCGACGGTCAGTCCCTTCTCACAGACAACAGGAAGCTGAAAGAGTCAAACGCTCCAATCAGGAAAACCTTCCTTTAATATCTGTTCTTTCTTTTTAAAAACCATTTCCTTCTTTTCTTCATCACACACGCAGGGGCGGAGCTAGATGGGGGACCAGGGGTGGCCATGGCCAGCCTTAGCCAATCATTGGCCACCTCTGCCATATTGTTCCCTCTAATACAGACGATGGCAGCAGTAATACTCTCAAGTGGAATATTCAAAACTTTTTCATTTTTCATATATTACCAATTACTTAACAACAAAACCACTGCAGTTAATGATGCACATCGATATACTAACATTAAAGATGATAAATACAGAGTTCCTGCTCTTTTCAGAGCATCATTTTGTCTTATAGGGGTAAAGAGAAAATGTTGCGTCTCTGCAAGTCATCAAGGAGTCTTCAGTGAAATCATAGATAAATAACTATTTTAATAAAAACTTATTAAATAATCAATTAAATGTAGATATTAGTGCTTGTAAATATAAATTTAATGCAGAATGATTACTGATAAAAGTAGGTAAGTAATGAAGATGGAAAAGATGTTCGCCCCAAAACTCAAACCTGAAAGAATTTTATCCTCTATACCTTTTATCTAGAAAGCATGGATGTTTAAATATTTGCATCTATTTGTTAGAAAAGGCTGTAGGAAAGTATAGATAGTCTTTATTTAGAAAATATGGATGTTTTGCTCGTTCATTTTCCTGTTGGATCAGTGTAGATTAACCCTGAGGTTCGGGCGCTGATCCACTTTCGCCCCCCCTCAGTGTACGATGGTTAATGCCTGGACACCTTTTTAAAACATTTTCTCTCTCTGCACACGGCGTGCTATCATTCTCACCTCGGTCGCTGTGGTCAGCAGGAAACAGTGACTCTCCTCCAGCTCCTTCTCCGTCCTTCCATCTGCTTTCATCTCTCTCCTTTTTTCCACAAACTGCAACACAAGGAATCGTTTCTCTTAGCAGGTAAAGCATGAAATTCACGCCCGGCAGTCAGTCTTGTTGCATCAAGTGGTTACACCATTTATATGAATGTCTAGTGGACTTTGTTTCCAAGTTTGAAGACGTTTCTCTTCCATCCAGGAAGCTTTTTCAATTCAAAATGTCAGAAATAGCGTTGAGTTCCAGGTTTTATCCAGCAGCCCAACAAAGCCTGGTTTTAGTTTAGAAAACATGCAAATAGAAACGGATGA